AGATGGGAACATTGAAGCTCTTCCTTTAAAAAAAAAACCAAATACATAGAATTCGGGTTAAAGTTGTCTAATTAATCAACATAAGCCCTAATTTGGGAATTGATTCAGTTTTAAACCCCCCCTCCCAATTGAATTTGCTCAAGTTCCACATAGGAATCAGGAACTGATCTTTTCCTTTCGACCCAAAGTTGGTTTCTTTGGCTAAGATTTTCTCACTGCAATTGGACTGGATCTTATTTTCCCACTCAGTTTCTTTGTCTTTCAAGACCTTATTTTGGGGGAAATGAAGATTATTTTCCTTCTGTAATAGAGAATAGATGGGGGTGGGGCCAGTCAGAGGTGGTATTTACCAGTTCTCTGAACTACTCAAAATTTCTGCTACCGGTTCTCCAGAACTGGTCAGAACCTGCTGAATATCACCTCTGCTACAACAGAGAGCAGTTAAAAAGTTCTACCTTACTTCAAGCCAGGAGCAAGCTACTTTAAAAAAAAAAAAAAAAGGATTGTTGGAATTTTGACAGTGTGTTGTGGACATTTTCACAAAGTCCTTCCAACCGAGGGAGTAGGCTAATAGAAACAGTTGCCTCTTTGTTTTCCAGGACAAGATTTCACTACAGTGGGAGTCAAGACATTTGAGAAGACCGATTTTCAGGATGTTGTTTCTGGCGTGTACAGCATTTCGGTTGTATCAGCATCTGGTACATCTTTGACAGATGTTCATCTCTTCTGCCGCCAAGCCTGTCACCAAGATGCTTGCTGTGATGGCTTTATCTTAAGCCAGCTCATACTTGATGGAGGTAACTGTTTAGGCTACAGCTGTGGATGAGAAGGTCGCCTTTCCTTTTAGACTATGGGCTTAGGAATAAGCCCACTGGAGCAGAAATCTAGCTTTGCTTATCTTACAACTGTTGGCAGAAATGTCCATCTGGGTTCAGTTCCAAGTGGGGGGAAAGAGACACTGGAAACATGGAGGCTGGTTGGAAAGATGGTTTAATGGTGGACAGGATCACATGGAGATGCTGAGAGAGCCTCGGTGTTATGCCCTCTGTTGGGCTTTGAATTTGAGCTTGTGTTCTGATTGGTTGTCAGACTCCCATGGGGCCATGCAGGGATAACTTAGGTCAGTGTTTCCCAACCTTGGCAACTTGAAGATGTCCGGACTTCAACTCCCAGGATTCCCCAGCCAGCGAATGCTGGTTGGGGAATTCTGGGAGTTGAGGTCCAGACATCTTCAAGTTGCCAAGGTTGGGAAACACTGACTTAGGCTATCTGTGTCCCAAGCTTGGTTGAGCCTTGCTGGGTGATGTAATCTTTGCAGGTGCCATGTGGTGAGTTCTGTTGCTAGATGGGTAGAGGGCTAATCCTACCTTTGTTGGATCCTGGGTGAGGGCATTTGCCTATGAATAGACCTAGCTATCTCTTTATCTCTTAGGTGCAGACAACTGCTGTGGGCTATTGAGGAAGGTGGGGGCTATTAAGAGTGAGCCCGCTTCCTGTCTTAAAAAACACGTTTCTCCATTTCTCCTCCAGGGAAATATAATATTCTGCCTTTTTAATATTTCCTAGAATATTTCTTTCTCCTAGGAGAGGGACTGGGTGCTAACTTCCTACATGAGAATGTAGATGATAAAGCTCTAGATGATTAATTTTAAGACAGGGTAACTTGTTATGACATTTTATTAATCAGTGATAATGGTTAGGCTTGCAGATGTTATCGTTTATAATTCAGGAAATGATGTGCAAACTTTCTGGCATGTAAGCGTAATTGGAAAAAAAATATGAAGAATTACAGTTTCTTCCTCCATTACAGTTTTTTTTTCCTGTTGTTCTTTTAAATGTTCATCAATATGTCAGTGACTCTGAAAATATATTTCTAGCCAAACTAGGATTAGGGAGAAACAAGTCTAAATCCTCACAACTGTGAAGCCAACTAATGGTGATATTAGGCCAATCTGAATTTCTCAGTGTTGTTGTGAGCTTGAAATGTGGTGGAAGAAGGACCAGAGGTAGGTTCCTACCAGTTCAGACCTATTTGGTAGAACTGGTTCGTCAAATCTACCGAACCGGTTAGAAGAGGTTCCACCAGTGGACCCGGAAAGCAGGCCACACCTACAGAAGAGGTTCCAAAAATTTTTGAAACCCACCACTGGTCCTTGGATATGATTATTCTACACTATCATGCTCATATTTATAAAACTCAGTGCCTCTGTGAAAGGTAAGGATGACTACTGCGTTTGTGGTGCAATCAGAACATTGCGTGTGTTGAAGTTGTTTTAACGCAAACCAAAGATGCCTTTTAAAAAACAAGTTTACATCCTATTCTTATGCAGGCCAGTGCTGTGTGTGTGAGGTAATTTAAGGTGGTTCTGACAAGTGTCGTCGGCATCTTCATATCCGGCCACATGGGCAGCAAGCCACTCCCATCTGGTCACATGGGCGGCAAGCCATTCCCACAAAGGAGGCCACACCCACAGAGTAGGTTCGAACAATTTTTGAAACCCAGCACTGAGAAGGACCATGCTGGCTGCCTTGATTCCACTATAAAAAAGGCAGGATGTAAGCTGAACAAAGTAAGAAAATGTTGAAAAGTAAAATACCCTTACAGTCAAGAATCCTTCAAATAGCCTAACTGAAAATACATCCCGATAGACGATTTCGGAATCGAATCCAGAAGTTCAGATAAGGGATGAATGGACCATACTTTCCTCCATTTACTCATAGACAATTTTTTTCCAGACTAATTAGGATTATATCAGAGTTGAAGTCAGTGGTGGGATTCCAAATCTTTTCCTATTGATTCTATGAGAGCATGTTTGTGTATGAACTCGCGTTTCATGGGGGAGCTCGCGCTTCCTGCGCAGCACTCAAAGACCGCCCTCAGTGTCAGCGCTGGTGAGCTGAACTGTTTTTTTAAGCTCAGCTGAAGCGTGGCAATCCACTCCGCCATGCGAATCAGCTGAGCTAAAAACAAGGTATTGTAGGACAGGGAACGGCAGGAGCGGGAGGGCGGAGCCAACCCGAGGTTGTATTTGCCAGTTCTCTGAACTACTCAAAATTTTCACCTGAACCAGCCCGAACCGGCTTAATACCACCTCTGATTGGAGTGGAATATACAAAAGGAGTGAGAATCACTGGAATGTGAGGTACATATTTTTTGACACTCCTTGGAATGACCAAGTATCTGAACAATATTTCAATCTCTGGCTTCCCTTGGACCGTGCTGAAGTTTTAGATCTATTCTGTGACAACAGAGGTGTTCCTCTGTAGTGTGAGGCATATGTCCAGAGCAGTGGTGGGATTCAAATAATTTAACAACCGGTTCTCTGCCCTAATAACCAGCTGGGTAGACCTGGCTCGATGGTCATAGGACCATGTGGGCATAGCCAACTCAACGTCACTCAGGTCGATGGGCGCTTCGCCTTAGCTGTTACAATGTAATGAGGGTTAACCGGAGAGGCAGTTTCTGTAAGCAGGGCAATAAAGACTAGGCTAGAAACAACACTAGAATGTTTCCTTCCTGCCTTCCTTACAGGATAAGCCCTGTAAAGTGGAAAAAAACAAAATAAGATTTCTTCCAAAAACCGGTTCTCCGAACTGCTTAGAAAGTTAACAACCGGTTCTCCCATATAGGTGCGAACCCGCTGAATCCCACCGCTGATCCAGAGGCATTTATCTCTCACTCTCTTTTTGATACTCCTTGGATTGACCATGTAATTGCACAATATTTCAGTCTCTGCTTCCCTTGGACTGTGCTCAAGTTGTAGATCTAATCTGTGAAACAGAGGATATTTCTGAAGAATTAGGGTTGTCCTGTGTCTCCTCAAGCAGTTTCCAAGAGGAGTTCAATGGAATGGATTCTTTTATACTTCCTAAGAAGGGCCAAGCAAGATTTCTACAGCAGAATTACTGAAAAGGCCAATGGAACACTTTTCCAAGTTTTTCACTGCCAAGATCAAACTGTTACTAAACAGAGCTGAACCCTGTAAATATTTTCTTCCTTGCATCCAGGCAGCATTGCATGTAGCCTGCTGAGTTCTCCAAGCGCATTGATCTGCAACCTTAATGACTGGGATGGGAGCTCAACCCGTCGACAAGGCGAGATCTGTCAACGCACAAAGTACAATGAAGGGAAGAGCCAATACACAGTCAGAATTGGAGACCAAGTGCTTGCTGGAGGTAAGCGAGTAATTTAATAGACTGGCCGAATCATTTGACTAGGATGGTGTAATGAATAGATTAACAGAGGTGGAAGGGACTTCGTAGGTCAACTAGTCCAAACACACACAGACACACACAGACACACCCTGCCCAAGCAGGAGACCCTACACCCTTTCCAGTGGTGGGTTTCAAATTTGTTTAGAACCTCTTCTGTAGGTGTGGCCTGCTTTGTGGGAGTGGCTTGCCAGCCATGTGACCAGGTGGGAGTGGCTTGCCAACTTGTAAAATGTGGTGAAACTCACTTAAAAACACTCTTACTTAGCAACCAAAATGTTGGCTCAGGAACTCTGGCATTGAAGGGTGCAAGTCTTAAAGCTCTCAAGTTACAAGACCCTTGCACCCCTAACCCTTTAGAAAAAAAATTCCAGGGGTGTTCAAACTTGACAGCTTTAAGACTTGTGGACTTCAACTCCCAGAATTCCTCCTCTCGCTCTTCATCTTGATGATGGGTGGATGGGCAGGGGGAGGGAGCTGGAACCGGTTCTAAACGGCACTGTAGATTTGTGGACCCTCTTCTATAGAAGAGGTTAGAACTGGCAGGAACCCAGCCCTGACCCTTTCTGACAAATGTCAGTCCAGTCTCTTCTTGAAAATTTTCAGTGATGGAACTCCCACAACCTCTGAAGGCAACTTCTGTTCCATGGGTTGATTGTTCCCACTGTCATTTCTACTTATTTCCAGGTTGAATCTTTCCCTGTTCCCTGGAAACTCCCAGTTTCCATTCATTATTCCTTGTCTGGCCTTCAGGTGCTTTGGAAAATGGATTGACCCCTTCCTTTCTGTGGTAGACTTTCAAATATTGGAAGACTGCTATCATGTCTCCCCTGGTCCTTCTCTTCACTAGACTAGCCATGCCCAGTCCCTGCAACCGTTCATCGTGTGTTTTAGCCTCCTGTTCCCTAATCATCTTGGTTGCTCTTCTCTGCACTCTTTCTAGAGTCTCCACATCGTTTTCATAATGTGGTGACCAAAACGGGATGCAGTATTCTACGTGTTAGAATACTAAGGCGTTATAAAGGGGTATTAGTGCCACACGTGATGTTGATTGTGTTCCTCTATTAATGTAATTTAGGATTGCATTGGCTTTTTTGGCTGTTGCCATACATTGTTGGCTCATATTTATAACTGGTTGTCCACTAAGATTCCAAGATCCCTCTCACAATTACTGCTATTAAGCCTGGTTTTACTCAATCTATATG